GTGGAATCTCCATCTCTGGAGATATTTAAGAGTAGGTTAGATAAATGTCTATCCATGATGGTCTAGACAGTATTTGGTCCTGCCATGAGGGCAGGGGACTGGACTCGAGACCTCTCAAGGTCCCTTCCAGTCCTAGAATCTATGAATCTATAAACTCCATTGAATTATGAGCTGTGATGACAGCACCCTCACCACCCCAAAGTTATTGTTCTGCATCTCAGAGTGGGAAAAGCTTGGTTGTAGACAAGAAAACTGAGCTGTTAATCCAGGTGAAACAGGACTGCTCTTTGCTTTTTCCAGAGATGATATTAGTGTGGTCTGAGCTACTACTAAGGCACATGCAGATCAGTGGAATAGGTGCAGAAAGATATTAACTGACTGAGTTTTAACTCCTTCATCTGGGGAAGCGGGGGGTCTGATTCTGAATCACGAGGGCATTACCTATGATTGCTATGGGCTCTTTTGACCAGGTGATGTGCACCTCTTGGACTCGGAAGCCAATATTTTCCATCTGGATATACCATAATGGCCTGAGAACTGGTGGCAAGGCTAGAGGCATCTGTGGTGGCTTGTCCTGGCATCAAGAGTTAAATTCCTTTTGGGGAGGATTAGAATTATTGCAGGGGAATGGATCTCTTGACCTCATGTATGCTGAGATGCAAAATACCCTTTCCTATTATTTAGACATTGACTTGTTTATGTCTGAAAGAGGTTAGGGCCCCATGTAACACAATTTGGGATTTTCCTGCACATTAGCTAGCCTGGGACTATATCTTGCCTATGTCTCTGAATTGTGCTGATCCATTAGGACCATAGAAAGTTACATGCTCAGGGTATGCATGTCAAAAGTGGGCAGGGTGGTGACAGTTTGGACATCTGTCCCCTTCCATCTTCCACTGCTATCAGGTCACCACGCCTCTTAGCTGTTATCTTATTGTCTAAGTCACAAAGTTGGGGCCATGATAAAAATGGAACTGGAACCTAATACAAATGTTTAAAAAAATGTTTTTTTCAATCCTCAATTTAATCTGTAAGGAACGGTGTTGTTCAACACTACAAGGTAATTAGGTCTTGAGGGTATTCGTAATTCAGCACTGGTTATTCAATGGGAGAAACCAGATTTCTACTGTATTAAAGGCTTGAATAAACAAGTGTTTATCAACTGGACTTACCATTTTCACTAAAGCAGTGTAATATTTATTTATTTATTAGAAAACTATCCAATGATTTAAGGAAATAATAGAAATCAAACTTTACCACAGGCATTGAAATTCTCATAGGATGAAAATTACAAAGAACTCACTTGCTGTTATTTACAGCATTCCTTGAGGTCAAATGCAATAGAGTCCCAGTGTATTTCTGTCAACTAGTATGTATTTTGTTTTGGTTTTGTTTGCTCCTTTAGATTTTCCAATCTTTGAAACACTAAACTGGTAGTAAAAACAAAAAACGGCCCTTGACTCAAGCATTGCTGATACAACCATGCCTGGCATGTTTACTTGCAAAAGAGGAATAAAAATAAATGTAATTCGAAAGGGATTAGTTTACTCCAAAGTGTTTGTTTTTATCCAGCTTTTAACCTCCTTTATCCATCTCCTCTCCCAGAGGAATAGCAGCTGCTAGCTCATTCAGTGAAGTAACAGTGTGCATTTATGAATTCCTGCTTACTCTGTAGGAAATGACAGTGCAAGATGTTCCTCATGCCTTCCCTACACTGGATGTTCCAGACCATGCCCACTACACAATTGGAACTGTCATTCTGGTGGTGGGGATCACCGGAACGCTGGGTAACTTCCTGGTCATCTATGCGTTCTGCAGGTACGCATACATCTTGTTTGTTCTGTGTGTCTTAAATATTTCTGTGGATAGACTTTAATACTGGTGGGATTGTGTTAAGGAAATGTGGTACAGGAACACTATCATTATGATTGTACTAATGCAAACTAATGAGCTGTGCATCAAAGTAACCCAGATCCATGACCTTGTATTTCTTATCTTGCGTATGAAATAGGCCTTAATGAAAGGTGTGGTATAATTGGCTGCTGGTGGTTTTGATAGTGCAAGTATCCCAAAACAATCTCCCTGTGATAATTATGCAATATCCTGGATAAGCCTTATTGAATTAAGCTGAATACATTTTTAAAATGCAATTGTTTATGCGTTATTGTGAGATTGTATGTAACTTTTCTAGGTGGAGGGCTTATGCTAATCTAATTCTTCTGGATATCAGCCCTTTGAAGGCCTGTTACCTATTCACAATTTCTTCAAAGGTTCAAACTGGATTCTAGAGACCAGTGGACAAAGAAAGGATGTTGGGATAAATAACCTGGTGGTAAACTGACTCAGGGTTTTTTGTTCAGATCCAGCAAATGGACAGGACTTCTGGTCCACAGAGGGCCCCAATCCATAGGGAAGGGTTGGAAGGACTTTGGCCTATTAAAGACCCATACGACTGTGAGTGATGAAGTAGAAACCACATGAAAACCTTTGGGTGGGACTTTCAAGGACTGCTCCTGCTAGAGGCCCTGTTGAAGGGGTGATCTCTGATAAACTTTTAGCATTCATGTAGGTTCTTTTATTGTTTTCTCTGTAATGCTTTTATCTGAAGAACAAACTGTGCTTGCTCAGAAAGAGCTCTGTGATAACTTATAACAGTGGGTAATTACACCGTTATTAGTCTATGAAGACAAAGCAAGTAGGTTTGCTTAGACAGCCTGTCTTCTGATGGGAATAACACTTCAGCCTGGAAATACCCTGGTCAGATGGGACAGAGACGCAGATCTCCACCCAAGTGAGGTGATGGCTGGGGGGCCTTAAGCCTAGGGGTGCCCTTGATGGACCATAGAAAGGGAATACAGGTGCAGTTGCCCTGAACTACGACCCCCCCCACCCCATCCAACATTTTCTGTTATGTTTCATAGACTATAAGGTCAGAAGGGGCCATTTTATGATCCTCTAGTATGTGTCCTCTGAGGACAAAACTCGGGACCTTCAGATTATAAGACTGATACGCTGCTGACTGAGCTAGTCTGAACAAGAGCATTTATAGCAGATATTGACCCTTCTGTGGTGTTTGGGACTTAGCCTGCCCACCCAGGAAGATGCTACCATACAGCCTAAACAGGGTGGGGGAAGAATACAGCAGCAGCTGGGAGAAGACTAGAACAGTACTGTGGTGTGTCCCACTCTGGAAGCGGCAAATCAGCAGGAAATCTGGCAGCAACAGCTGTATCTGTGGTAGGGAACAGGGCAGGGGGCTGGCTGTCGTGTCTCTCCCTGGAGCTATCTAAAAATGTTGAGGTGGGTGGGGAGACTACAGTAGAATTGCAGAGCTGGGGGTGCACTGATACTACACATGCCCACCATTGATGCTGTATCAGTAGTTGCATAGCAATAACAAACCACCAACTGCCTAAAGGAGTTAGTTTGTAAACAGTTAATGAGTATTTTGCTGCCCCTAAAACTGCAATTGCAATAGTGCTTTAAAATTGGTGATTGTGGACTGGTGCAGGGAACATCTGCCAGTTTCTCTAGGAAAACAGAACCTCTTGAGACAGCCTTGTAATGCATAAAGATTGTCAGGGGTTGGAGGGGAGTGACTGAAATGATGTGTGCCCCTGGGACAGCTCTGAGTTACAATGGGGGCAAAAAAGATTATTTGCCCTACACACTGATCCTCCTGGAATGCATCTTCTATGCTACAGCTCTCAGGAGGTGCAACATATTATTTGGTCAATTGTGCCTGAGACTGAAAACACAGGAAAGCAGCTGTAGAGACATTAGATAAAATGTCACAATTTCAGGAAGAATAAAAAATCAGAATCAGAAAGTACTGATATTAAGAACTCTCAATAGCAAATAGGTTTGTACAAAAACACTAGAGGACACTCTATTATGTTGGCGCGAATAATTTATGGAGGTGGGGGATGTAATAAGTCTGGCAATAGGTCCCTTCAAATTCAGTGCCTGGTGCAGTGAACTGCCTGTCATGGAGAGGAGTTGAGATAAAATAAAATGCTGCATGTGGTATAAAGTCAGCCTCCTTAATCCCCATATTTGGAAGTTGCTGTTAATCTCATCAGCAGTGGAAAATGTCCCCTTAGCTCTGCATGACCCAGATCCAGAAAATCCATAGAGTACATCAACTTTAATTTCCTGTTAATCATGGACACAGGGTGCAGTGGGTCAGAGTATTCAGAGAACAATGTCTTCTATTCCTGTTTCTGAGCTGGGTATCAAAACCAAGGAATATCCTCTACTAAGGCACAAAGAAGTGTAAGGAGTGTGCTATTAAAATTATGGCGGCTCATTTAGCTTCTCTTTTCAGGAAAATCAGAAGCCAGTTTGATGTAGCTTGACATATTCTACACGTTGATATTTGTGAAGCTGCCAATGCTCACAGCAAAGAGTAACAGAGAGCCAAGGTGGGGGAGATAATATATTTTATTGGACCAACTTCTGTTGGTGAGAGAGACAAGCTTTTGAGCTACACACAGCTCTTCTTTGGGTCATGAAGAAGAACTCTATGTAAGCTCAACAGGTTGTCTCTCTAGCCAGCAGAAGTTGGTCCAATAAAAGGTACTGTCTGACCCACCCTATCTCTCTAATATCCTGGGACCATCATGGTTACAATAACACTGCATACAGCAAAGAGTAATAGCATAATTACCCACAGATCAGCGCTTAGCAATGTTCCTTCTAATCTCTTCTCTGTAGGAGTAGGAGCCTTCGAACTCCAGCCAACATGTTCATCATCAATCTAGCTATTAGCGACTTCCTAATGTCCATCACACAGGCTCCAATTTTCTTCACTACCAGTCTCCACAAGCACTGGATTTTTGGCAAGAAAGGTTTGTACATATATCTTCTGAAAGATAATTTAGTTTGTTGCCATGGTAATGACTTCAAGTTAATAATTGACAGTATAAGTATCAAAGCTATGCAATACTATAGTTATTAAAGCCGAAAGCACATATAACTTGCCTGGTTTCAAGTTTTGTTGAGCAGTCAGGACTCAGTCCAAGTTTGTCAAAAGGTTTAGAACAAGCTTGGGTCTGTACTTGGAGTTATTTATATGTTAGTGGTATAGATATGATACAGGCTGAAATTTGACCGTTTTCAAGTAGTTTGATTTCGAATTTTGGACAGGTGTATGATGAGGAGTTGATACAGATGCATAAATCAGAATTTGATTTTATCTTTGTCCTTTAAAAAACCCAGAGGAAATTACACTAAAAACTACATTAAAAGAAGGGTATTTAGGTTGTAAAGTCAAGCATTAAAAAGTTAAGAAATGCCAGATTTATGATTGCCTGGGTGACCTTAAGTCAGCCCCTTTGTGCATGTGCATGTTTTTATTACATGATCACATTTTTTTTTCCTCTAGAACATTTGTCTCATTCAGTGCAAATTTGGACCACAAGAGGGGAAATCAAGTTTGCATGGGCAACCTTAAATCTGGTATTTCCTAACTTCTGAGTGCTTGACTTTGCAACCTAAATAACTTTCTTCTAAGGTAGTTTCTGTTTGTTATAAATATATTTACAGCACTAAGTCTATACCATTACTGCCAGAATTGTGAGATAGAAAAAGGTCTTCTCTAATGTTTGATAAACGAACATACTCTCTCACTGCTCACATTCACTCACAATCATCTCGCACCTGAATTTAAAAAAGAGAGGAATAAGGCCCAGGAGCATCTGCCCCCCAGCATACCACTCTGCCACTGGCATTAATTAACTTGAATGTGGAATTTTTATCTTGATATTTCTGCTGCTAGAAAGCCTGACAATAAACATATGTTTTTACAATATAAATATAAACCAAATATTCTCAGTGTTCTCAGTGAACATGCTTTGTATTTCACTCATTGGGTCTAAACTACCAAACATCCCTTGTCAAACATTAGTTACTGTTGTTTGTGACAGAAGTGCCCAAAATGTGCAAGGTGAGAGAGAGGCATACAGGAAAACACAGTCCCTGCCTCAAAGAGCTTACATTCTATAAAGACAAAGCCAGACAAAAGGTGGGTGAAGGGGATACAACATCAAGGAAAGAGTTCTGGATAGAAAATGGGATATGGTTTGGTTTATTTAAACATATATATATATGAACTATCCACCCCTGCCCCCCCTCATTGCTTGTTTTTTAATGTGTGTCAATTACCTTTTTATTTTAAACTGTCTACTTTCATTGTCTAATCCTTGCCTATTAAACCTTGTCAAACTATCCTTTCCAATGACCCATCCGTGATTCTCCACAGGCTCAAAGCTATGTGCTGCTTCACTGAGCTCTCTCTTCACCCTGCCTACCCACACCAGAGATTCAGATTTAAGGTGAAATCCTGGCTCCTTATAAGTCAATGGCTAATCTCCCAATGAGTTCAGTGGAGCCAGGATTTCACCCTCTGTGTATGAGACAAACATACAGATCAGACAGCCAGTCCGATGGGGCCCATCTGTTATAAGGCCTAAGCAAATCTGTGGAATAAAGACTCTTCGGGTGGGATTTACAAAGGTATTTAAGTGCCTAACTCCCATTGAAATCAATGATACCTAAATACGTTGGTGAATCCCACCATTTGACTCTTTCCATGCAGGGGCTACTCTTTCTCTTGCTGCAATTATATCTTGCACGTATGTGGTGGGGGAGGTGAACAAGAGGTATGGTATTGAAATGTTGGTTATTGCTGACTTGTTTATTAAATTAAGTAGATAATAACAAATGCTTGTTTCTGCAGTTCTTCATGTTACAAAACTGAAAAGACTATATCCCGATGTATAAACAAACTGTCTAACCTCTAGAGCTGGCTGAATAATTAAAAGCAGACTTTTGAATATATTAATGAATATGTGCTCTATGGATGTTGTTGTACTATTTGTATAATTGCAGCTATTAATGAAAAAGTTGGTGCATCTCAAACACTTCATGAATTTGCATGTTTTAATTCCCATTCATCATTAATTATTCTCCTATTTTAAAGATTTATCTTTCTGTCCAACAGCAGAAGACAAACTGTGACCAATCATGTTCCACAAATAGCAAATAATTAAAGTAAACAACTGACAACCAATCCATTGTCTGAATTATTTACTGAAACTATGCTGACTTCATCTTGGGATATGAGTTGCTCCATGGTATCTGAGTGATTATAAAAATACTTTTAACTAAAATAGGTCTTTCCATGGGAGTTGGAATAAAATGAAAACTAAATGAGCTGCCATGGGATCTCTGAAATGCTCCCACTAGAAACTTCAGAAGTTGAAAAGTGAATGTTCTATTAAGTCACTGTCTTGAGTAATAAAGGTAAGTAAATCTTTGACGTTTACATCCATGGATAATATAATTAGCAAGGCCAGTCCACAGCTTGGAAAGTATATTGCTGCTGGAAAAGTGAACTTCCTGTTGCCTTAAGAGTTCTGAAAGTAATTAGGTAATGTGTTACTAGACTAGGCCACAGGTAAATGGTCTCCCAGGAATACTGGTATAACCAGCATGGATGGTTAAATCTGTTGGTTAACCCTATTGTACTCTCCATTGAAAGGTTGTGAGCTGTATGCCTTCTGCGGAGCCCTTTTTGGCATTACATCCATGATCACATTGATGGCAATCGCACTGGACAGATATTTTGTGATCACACGACCGCTGGCCTCCATTGTGGTGATGTCCAAGAAGAAGGCTTTGATAATCCTGCTAGGAGTCTGGCTGTACTCTTTGGCTTGGAGCCTCCCACCCTTCTTTGGATGGAGTAAGTGAGATAGAATACAAGTCTATTGTCTGATACCAGGAGAAAATGGCGGGATTAAAGAATGGTCTGTTAGACACAAGGATGAATAAACAGAATTTACATATTAGGATGAAGTTTGAAGAAATCAGTGTGAAGGAGATTGCTTATAGCTAATGAGTCTTAAGCAGTTTAATCAGCAGAAAAGATTGCAGTGCACATATCACATTTAATTACACTGACACTTTTGCAGGGAATCTCATTAGCGCGCTGTATAAAAACATATAAAATAAGGGCAAAAATAATGCAAAACAGGCTTCTGAAATAGTGCATAACCTTCTGCAATCAAGCAGAGTTGAACAATAAAAAGTAAAGGGGACAGATGAGCACAGTTTTTAAGTTTTCAAAATGATTTTCATTGCTCATAAAAAGTGCCATATTGACAACCTGAGGAACCTGAATTCCTCTATTTATACCTTAAAGCAGTACAGTATGTGCAGTAAGACTGCAATTTTCCACACCCCTATGATGTGCCTCAACCCTATTGGGAGGGACCAATTCTAGAGGTAAGAGGGTTGTTTACTCTCTATGCCCATTTAGCCCTTGACATCTTAACGAAGGATGACAGTTAGTAGTAATTAGGTAGCAGATTTGCTTGCACACGTTAATTTTGTGTGTGTAAATTGGTATCTGTTCATATTTCACATCTTGACAAATTGAAAATTTGGCCCTTACTGTTGGCTGAGATAGCAGTAGTGGTTCTGTTTCTCTGTTAGAAACTAGACTAATACCATTAACTTGTTTC